ACAGACTCTGAGCTTTTGCGAAAATGGTTGTCCATTTGTTTTTCAAGGCGCATATTCTTCTGCAAGAAGTTCAATTTCATTGCTGCTCATAAATCTGAGCATCATTTCTGCTTTAAGTTAACTTATTTTATTTGAAAATTTCAGTAATGCAAATTAAAGCCAGATTCTTTTTGCCTGTGTGAGGGGAGGGTACGTGGGACCCGTGTGTGGTTCTGCCCTTCCTTATTTCCTAGGGTGGCTCTTCAGAGCTGTCTGCTACCGTAGCACCAGACTGGTGCAGCCTTTCTCCCAGTCCTGCATGCTGCCTGCTCGCTGACGGAGTAAAGAGTAAGCAGTTGAGAAATTACATTGTGGATTTATTTTTCACTCTTCCCTGAAGTTTTGGGAAGTATAACTCTGGTAGCACATCAGGGGAAATTATCTACCTGAAATGTCTGTGCAGTCCTAAGACCGCATGCAAAATCGTAGTCTGGTTCCCAGGACACTGCTGGAACAAAACAGCTTCGTAGTTCAGCTAAGGACAAAAATCACAGATAATCCTTCTTAATCAGATTTTACATATAAATTAGTTATTCTACCTGATGTATACAACCCTTTTTTTTTTTAATGGCTGACAAAGAAGGGAACTCGGTAAAAGTTTAATTAGGAAAAAATGAATCTAGAGCACTTCCAAAATACGAATGGTGAAAGTAATGTGCACCTTCCTGAATAGTACTTTTTGTTCATAGATTTCAAAATAATCTGCAAACAGATTTATTGTTCCCATTCTTATTTTACTGAAGTTTTTGCTAGGAGTAAAATCAAGTTGGAAGCTGTGGCTTGGCAGACGTCTGATGGCAGGATAGAACCTGGAGCATTTTTTTAGCGTGACCCCAGTCCAAAAACTTTCATTGAGACTTCAGTTCATGAATAGGCAGAATAACAGGAAAGAGAAGATTGTTTCCTACCTACCACTACAACACAACTGGTTTTGATGCTCTGGTGGGAATTTCAAGGGCTAGCTCAAGTTGTATTAAGCACACCCGTTGGAATATCATGCAATGGAGTTTTAATTTAAATGAGTTTAATGGAGAACTTTCTTTGCATAAATTTTAGGGGGGAGATTGATTTTGATACTTTTAACCTCTCAGCAGCACTTAGATCATGCTTTTAAATTATTTTTGTAATGATCAAATAGCCTGGAAAGTGGTTTATTGTAATATATTCCTAAAACAAATGTCATTCATCCCTTTCTAACAGGAGTACAGCAAAGTTTCTCCATTAAGCTCTGGCTTCAGCCTGCCTTCCCATTGGAAAAATTTACTTCCTTTTAGTGAAGAGCTACTGTGAAGGTTTGGTGTTTAAACAGTTTTAATCTTGAAGAGAGAAGTTAAAAGAAGGCATAGAGAACTTACTTAATGTGAGCTGAACCTCAAAATTATTGAAAGGACCAAAGAAAAGGCAGACTAAGGTCATGAAGAGAATTAAGCTGATTTATTGTTCCAGGTGCAAGATAACATCTCAGATTGTGAATTATTATATCAGTTTTAATCATTGCCTCAGAGCAGAGCTAATTAGTTTTGTAGAATTAGTTTAGGAGTGTGGTAACGCATAAGTAGGAATTAATTCTGCTAACTGCTTGTCCTCACAAATCGATTGGCTTCTCCTTCTGTTTATGTACTAACTCTTGGTGGCTCTAAGGCTTTTGGAGCCTTCTGGTGTTAACACATTTTACTAAATTCTCATAATATTGTGTTTTGTTTAAATATTGTAGCTGGAAAGCTAAAGTATGTAACAGTGCTGTTGAAAAGCAGTATTAAGATACCACGACTCTTCAGTGTCTAACACTAAGTCTGTGTTTTGTTCGGTCTGAGCTCTAGGCCGTGGTGGATAGCCATTTGGTTAACTCCACCTTACACGCTTTCTTAATAGTTTAATACTGCTCCTGCAAGTATGTCACACTGTGCTCTTAGAGCAAACCACCATTAACTCATTTTCTGGGGAGGATTTTAATGTGGCTATTAGACATACTTGATTTCATGAATGATAAATAACTACATCTGCAGTCTTTCATAATGTAGTGTGGGCTGTCTTTCATTATCTACCATGACTACTAATTCAATGGGTTGGAGGTGTTTTTTTTAATATATATTTACTGTCGTGCATGTGCTTATATGAGAAAAGGCTAATTTGTAATTAAAAATGTTGAACCCATTGGACATACTTTTTGATGCCTGTTAAGGTGGTAATTGATATTTTTATGCCTCCCTTTCTCTGTGGTGGCTGCCAGCATGGCTGTGAACTTCACCTCAAAAGCTGTAATAGCAGCATGACAGGTTTGTCCTATTCTGTGAGTCCAAAGCTTTGCTGAGATTTACCTGAGAAACTTTAAGAATATTAGGAATATCTGAATTTCTTTCATTAGGTTGTGTTCTGCCACAGGCAAGATAGTTGCAAAAGGCTTGCAGACGACCTGAAAATTTTCCCTTCTAACTCTGTGCCCATCCCAGCTTAGGTGATGCCTTGCCTGGTGTATTGAGAAGAAAAGCATTACGTAGCAAATTTGAAAAAGAGGTGTAAGAGAGAACTTCAGTGTTTGATATGTGGCCAAGTTAGTGGATGCTCAGAGTCTGGAACATGCTACTGCTGTAGTATCTTCAAGTTGTCAGATGCAGCTTCTGGGCAGAATATGAGACTGGGACCCATAGAAAAGAGCAGAATTTACAAGATCTTGTTACATGATCTCAGTTGAGTGCCGCATCCTTTCTTCCCTCTTGTTTTTGCACATGACAAGAGGATGAAGTCACTTTGGAAATGCAGCTCGAGATTTCATCGTTAATGAACGCTGGTATGGGGAGAATACTGCAAACTCGGATAATCTTGTCACAGGTTATGAACCTTCTGTTCCCTGGGAATAGGTGAATAGTGAAGGTGTTCAGGGGGAGAGCAAATAGAGGAGCATAGGGGTATGTATTTGCTCTGAACACTTTCAGAGCTTCATAGGCTTCCTAAGCTAGGAAAGCTATTTGAGCATCAGGTGCTACGTTGGTGCTGCCACAGATGAGTGAGGGGGCAACTGCATAAATAAGGAAAAGGTTTTACCCAAGAATTAACTGCTATTCACTACTAGTACCAGTAGAGCTATACGAAGGGGGGTGGGGGGGAGTTGATCAGCTGGTGTTGAGGTTACAAACAGTCCTGATGACTTTATAAAAGTTTTACGTCAGTAAAGGGCTGAATTTCATCGTTCTTAGCCTCACACCATATATTTTTCATTTCCTATGAGCATGCCCAAGTCAAACAACAAAGTTATAGAATATTCTGCCTTTGATAGTTTGGTGATTCATAAAGTGCAGAAATTTCATAGGTGAACTATATTTGTCAGAGAAAAGATGCATGATCTTTTCTTTTCTTTTCTTTTCTTTTTTAATCAAACAATTTTTGAGGTCCACTGACATAGCTGACCACTGCTTCACGTCAGGCGATCAGGGCTTCTTAAAGATGAATTTTCAAGAACATGTGTATTGTTCATAAAAGAAATATAATAAAACCAGTAATATAGATTTGCTCCAGGAGAATTTGCAGTGCAAGGTTAGTATTGCAGATACTGGCAACAGGAAAAAAATAAAAATAAAAAAATGAAATAGGTTTCCCGTTTTTAGTAAAAGGTCCGTGAGTTCATGATATAGAAGTATTGACTCTGAAAGATATGTATTACTGTAAGTTTTACACTGCTTATACTTTGCATATTTTTCCACATATGTGGCTATATATTATAGAAAGAGTGAGAGTATATAGTTGTTCACTATTATATGGTAGCAGCATGTATTTTATTCTGGAGGTTTTATCTTTGACACAGATTCTTTTTAATATACGTGATGTAGAAGTCTTAAATTGTAAAAAAAAATTTGAAAGAAGTCCTATTTTCTTTTAAAATATGCAATGGAGATATAATTTAAACAGCCCTTAGATGCGTCTATTGGGAATTGTTCTCTTAAGTGAGATTTAGGTTGATGAAGATGGAAACTGCTAAAATTCTTGTTCTTCATTTGAAAAACATTTAAAAAATCCAACCATTCGAGATTTAGGATTGAAAAAAATATTAATGGCATATACATTGATGGAAGGTAACATTTTATGAAGGCAATGAGCAGGAAGATTGTAAATTATTGCTGTATTTCAAAGAGAACAGATGCAATAGAATTACTTAATAATTTCGGATAATTTTATGTGAGTATCAGCGTTATATGGCTGCGTGAACACTGAATGATTAAGAGGGCCAGCTATTTTGGGCACTATTTGTTCTTGTCGCCTTACTTCTTGAGCAAAGGCTCAAAGGCTACTTCCTTACCTTCTGAGACTTCTGTCTGTCCCTACTGGGCTAGCTTTTTAACATATAAAACAAATGATAGTTAAGCTGGTGCGATGAAGTTAATGATAGCATTCACGTATTTGGAAAAGAGGGAGAAGGAGTAATTAACGCAATGAGTAGTTGATACTTAGGATGCTGTTTAAATTGTAGTGGTTATTTAAAAAAAAAGCAGTTTTTTATATATCATGAAATTTATTCAGTTTTTTCATGATCAGTAAGTAGTTTAGGTTGTGTATTCACACTAATTTAGATTATAAGAATACTTTTCCAAACCCGATGCACTATTCAGGTTTGTGAACTGTTAATTCTTAGAACCCATTAAATTTTCAGAGTCTGTGGATTGTAAAATGAGTTTTGGTTGCATTAATAGCAGGAGATAAATGGATGATTGTGAAATGGTTTGGGGAGAATAGGTGATAGTCAAGTCTAGTTTTGATGTTGCTTTCTCTTATAGTGTGAGACTCAGGACTTCAATCTTAAAGTTGTATAGAATACTCTGCTTTCTTTAAATTGTATTAAATGTTACCATGCATGTAATTGTATGAAAGGCTGGGAGTATTTTAAAGGCTAAGCGACACTTTTTTCTGTTTGCCTCTTGCAGTGAATAATCAATGGATTGTTTGATTTTTTTTCTTTTCCTTCTTTCCAGATAACCTTTTTCATGCTGCTGTCTGCAGTGTGTGTAATGCTGAACTTGGCTGGTTCCATTCTCTCTTGTCAGAACGCTCAGCTGGTAAAGTCCCTGGAAGGATGTCAGTTGGTGAGTAATGAAAAACAAATCTTTAGTATAAGGGGCAATGAATTTTATTTTTAATTTGTTTGCATTCTATCTACATATTGTTTTAATATTCAAAATTATATGTGGTTACACCTTACAGAATGACAAATCATGCTAGGAAAAGTTTGAGAGTTAAAAGGCTACCATATTTACGATATTTTGTCTCCTCAAAAAGTAAGTTGTAGTACTTTCTTATTAGTGTCGTGATACAAATGCAACTTAAACACAATAGTTAGAATGCAAGCCAAATCAAAACAATGCTGTGATTACCATTTGATGTCAGCAGCATCGGGATTTCATCCAGTATCTTTCTACAGCTAGTGTATTTCCCAGATGTGCTGATAATTGCTTTCGTATGTGTATATTGATATTTTATTTGCCAACCTGAATTAGTTTTTTTTTTTTTTTTAATTCCAAAGCAATTATACGGTTGATTGTGTTAAATTAGACTTAAACACAATAGATAGAATGCTGGCCGTATCAAAACAATGCTGCGATTACCATTTGATGTCAGCAGTATCAGGATTTCATCCAGTATCTCCAGTGTATTTCCCAGATGTGATAACTGTCCCAATCTGATAGTTGTTTTTGTATATTAATACTTTACTTGCAACCTGAATTAGTTTTTAAAATTAATTCCAAAGCAAATATAGAGTTGGTTGTGTTAAAATATAAAATTAAAAAAATAAATTATCATGATATGGTATGCTGTGAATTATTAAAAGGTACAGTGCATCTAAAGTGTTTATGTTTCTATCCTATCCTGAGAAAAAAGTAAGTATACGATAAACTCTAAAATATTTTGTGATGTAAAGTTATCAAGATGTCTGTAAAAATAAACTCGTGTCTGAAATCACTGATCTAAAGAAAAAAAACACTGACTTTTTCCATAAATTCAGAAGACAAATGGCATTAAATTATAAGATCCACAAAGGGGTCTTTGGAGGGTGTTTATGGACGTACATCAATGCTTTTTTTTTTTTTTTTTTTGAAAAGTATAATCTAGCTAGCAGTAGACCGATCAGATTATATCAACTGCATGAGCATGCATTCGTAGGATTCATTAACTGTTAGGGATATGTGAACGTATGCTTGTACCAACCATGTTCTTTGGTCATGCCCCAAAACTTTGCTTTGAATGATAAAGGAAAAGGACATTTCTATCTCATATGCCAACAGATGACTCTATAACCACCAACCACAGCGTGCTTCTGCACCTCTTCTCTTCAGCCATTGTTTTCCTCTTTCCTTCTAACAGTTTTTTCTCCAGTAAAACATTTGTCTTCCATTTGCACGCAATATATTAAATACAACTGAATTTAAATAATACAAAATGTTCCAGCAAACATATCAAAAGTCACATTTAAAAAAAAAAATACAAAACAGGAAACCGTTCAGGCTTACCCTGTTATGTACCTTTGTCTTGTTTAGTCCCTTCTCTTGTTTTGGGCTTTTTTTTTGCTTTGTTTGGTAGTCAATCTGTATTTTATATTTCTTTCACCCATCATGATCATCCTGCTCTTTGTCTCCAAGGGTGTGTCTGCAGTGCCGTTACTAAGGTAGTCTGAAAAATCTTAGGTATTCTCCTCAACTTTCTAGAGTGTTGGTGATTTCTAGGTGTGATTAGGCTTTATAGAAGCAGAGGGAAGGAGTGAGAGAGTTGAGTGTGTGGGAAACCAGTGGTGACCAGAGAGATGAAGGGAGGGTTTTCGCTATAAAATATTCGGTTTGGGAACCTCTTGATAAAGTAAGTTCCTGGTATACAGTTCCTGGTATGCATAGCATACAGAGACTAGAATAGCTTAGACTAAAATAGCTTAAACCTTGCAGATGCGTACTGGAAGTAGAATTTTAGTATTTATATGTGTAAAACACAGGGATATTGAAGGGAATAGGGTTAGACAACAGTATACAGTGACAAACATTTCTCTTCCAAACCCAATACTGAGTTTGATCTTCCACTATCTAGAAGAGTGAACTTCCTGCTGTTAAAATGGTGATCTTATTCCTTCTCATCGTTATTTTAATGATTTTTAACTTCAGAGGATAATTTCAGTTTAGGTGAAGAAGAAATAGAGTAATTTTATTATAAGAAAAATGCATTAAATAAAAAGGAAACTATTCATATTCTCAAATTGTTTTTCAAAAAGGTAAGGAAGGCTAGAAGGAGAAAAAATGTAAACCTATTGGAAAAATATTCACCAAATGTGCTCACAAATGTCATTTCTGTTTTTGTTCTTCCATAAAACATTTACCTTCTGCATTGGAAAATTAGCATAGATAAAGGTCATTTTCATTAAAATGAAAAGAACGGGAACTGGGATTGTTCTCTCTGCTTGGATATTTATATATCAAATTACTGCACTAATATAAATGCAAACTTAATGCAAATTTAAAACAGAAGCCTGTTGGAATCTGTTCATTGGTGTTCAGCAATAATTCTGAGCTTATCATCATTTAATATCTAAATTATTTTTGAATTATAACACTTCAGAAGTATTCAAGAACAGGTGAGCGTTGCGGAGGAGTAGAAAAATACTGTCATAATAATTTCACTTATTGGGAAAACATTAATTAGTCTTTGTGTTTGTTGAATTTGAATGCTGTTGCTTTTTTAGCTCATTTGTGGAGAGCAGGAGAGCAAGATTAGATTCTTTGGTCATTAGGATTTCTTTTTTTACATGACTTTTAGTGACGGAGTCATTTTTCTGTCCTGGAGTTTAGGAGGGGTTCACTTAACTGTATCATAGTTGCCATTCAGATAAGTGGGAGAGTTTATGACGTACGAAGAGGCTACATGAAGTATTTGTATCTTCCTGTCTTGGAGGAGAAGCTGTTTCGGTGTTTGGTCTGTTTAATGTAAGATTGTCGCAGAGGGCATAGATAGCAGAAATTCAGCCTGTATTAAGCGTGTTTGAATTGATGATACTGCGTAGGAGATTGAAGGTGATGGAATGTGTAATCTTAAAGATTTAATGCAAATTATGTTTTCTGATGGCTTCGAGAATATTTAGAAATATTCAGCTATTGTATTTTATTCTTTTTATTTTTCTTCTTTATTCTAAAATGGAAGAAATCACTGTTTGTTAATTAGAGTTGACAAAGGAGTGGGAAAAAAGGTTTTTTTTTTTTAGATATTTAGGGCTTTTTACATTGTGCAGGCATTTTGCTACCTGTTTAGTGCTTGTCAGCATCCTCTTAACAATGTGCTAAATGTGTTTTAAAGTAGTTAACGTCTGTAAAGTACAAAATTTCAAATGTAAATATCTCTCTAAGGAATCCACGTTGCATATTCAGATGATGACATTGAGGTTGGGGAGGATAAATATGGGCGTTTCTAAGCCACAGTAAAGAAGCAATTCAGCTCCCAGATTAGGGTGACCAGCTGTCATATTTGAAAATCAGGCTGCCAGTCTGTGTCACAAGGACTGTGTGTTTTACGATAAGACATTACTGAAACTAATTGCTGACTCAACATTAAAACTATCCTATTTTAATCTATGAAAACGTTTGTAGTTTAGGCAAATATAAGATTAATTTGACAGCTTTTTTTTCTTGATGCAGTGAATTTCTAGTGTTTCTTGGCACAAGAACTTTTACCTCGGATTTCCAGGATATCACTGCAATTATAATATGATAATCTTCCTTTTGATATGTTATTATTGTTGCCATATGGTCCTCACGCTTAGTCTTACAGGGAGAATGAAACACTTTACAGCTCTTTTCATTTAGTGTGTAGAGAAGAGTATTGGATTAATACTATTTTAGCATGAGTCTGTCTCTGACCTCTTTTGTGGTTCTTTTAAAGCACAGCGTGGGTTCTGAGCTGAGTGTCACTGAAATTTTAAAAAAGCCTTTACCAGTATTTTTAAGGGAGATCTTTCTTCTTAAAAGTCAGGGAAATTTAAATTGCTGTCCTCTCTTCCCTTGCGTTTCAGTTAATCAATCCACAGACAAAACAGTGCTAGATCGGAGGCCCCAGGTGGGTTTGCATCTCTTTTTTTGGAATGTTTTCTTGTCATGGTTCGTGAATGTTGGGAAGAAGCTGAAAGCTCCTCGGTAGAGCCTACTGAAACGTCCCGAAGCCTACGGTTCAGTTGCAAAGTAGTTTGTTCTTTGTTAAGATAGCTGTGATACCTAGACGGAATTTAATAGACTGTTACAGATGGAAAATGTCTGGTCTTTGCACATTTTTGTTAGAGTATTGTGACAGAAAGGAGTGAGTTGGTGTGTGTGTGTGTGTGTGTGCGCGCGCACGAATCTTAAGTTTGAAGTTCTCTGTGTTCTTTGTCGGTGGATGCTTTAACTTTTTTGATCCTACGCTATGTAAAAGGTTTTAGTGGTTTTGATCACTTTTGAAGTAACTGTACTGGTTTTTGGCAAGATGAAATATATTTAAAAGACTGTTTAATGTGCGTGGGACAGTTGCAGCTCGGGCTGATGTTTGAAATCTTCAGTATGGTTTGTATGAGGGTGTGCTGTGCAGCTCTCAAATATGAAAGTACGCAAACTGTGCTGTAATTACTGACATTATGCTCACTGGTGCAAAAATTGTGAAGTGGGACACCAGTGTGTGCACCTTAACCCCTGCTGGCTGGGCTAGGGTGGACGAAGCTGTAAATGATGCTTTATTCCTGAACTCTGCTAAACAAGAGAGATTTAAACTAACAGCTGAGTTTCTGCTGTTCTGACAGCTGAGGTAGGTGAAAGAGGACGGTGTTGGAGGTGCCGCTGAGATCTGAGACTTGCTGACGTGACTGTGTCTGAGGCCAGCAAAAGCCAGCCGTGCTGCCAGGGGAAGGGGTCATCCAATCTCCACCTCCCTGTGCCCACCTAGCTCCATCGTTTATGCCGCTCCATGCGTTTATGAACGCACACAGTGAACTGCCTGAGGTCTAATCAGGACTAAAACTAAACCAGGCTCCCCATTCTTCCACCCTCTCCTTCCCCACCAAAAAAAAAAAAAAAGTTTTGACAAGGTTTAGGTCGCCTTATGGCTGGATGAATTCGTGATCTCATCTGCGCACATGTGAGCACAGGCAGTAAGGCAGGGACGAGCATGGTGGGGCATGAGAGCTGGGCCCTGCTTTCAGCTGCTCTGCTGTCCCCAGCAGGAGTGAAACGATATACTCGGCCTTTGGTGCTGCTCCCCGTTACCAAAGCCAAAATTAGCCAAAATGTCCCTTCACAAACATATTTAAAGGAAAATGTGAGGGCAAATTGTTAAAAGTTCTCCAAAAATGTATTTATAATGCTAAAATAGATACTTGCTTTGCATACTGGTTGCAAATTTTATGGGACACCTGTGCATTACATAAGGCAAAAGTAGGCCTGGGATCTGTATTTCGTATTAGGAAATATCAAACACATCCCATCAGTAGTCAGTGACTATCTTTCATCGAACAGGAGCAGCATGAATCAGAGAATAAATGTTCTTGCAGGAGACAGTTTTGCCTGAAGTGCATTTTCCTCATTCCAGAAACTTTTTACCAGCTGAAGATTATATTGATTTTTGCCATACGTTTGGTGGTGATACAGCTGGAATGCTGTAGCTTTCTGACCGCTGAATTTGACACAGCTCTAAATTCAAAGTGCAAGTCTCAGACTTCCTCTGTAGCATTTATCTAACAGTTGACACCGTTTCTGGCGTTCCCAGAGGGGTTCAGGGGCAAGATCTCCCCTCTTGATTCGAAGAGCTGCATTTTGCTCAGATCTTTTTATAAAGAGAGTACCAAAAGGTAGCAGGAATTGGAAAAGAAAAATTAAGTCTTAAACTATTAAAACAGCTTTGTGAATTAAATGTTATGCTAAGTAGAAGTAAACAAACAGCACAACTTCTTTATAAAGGTGCTCAAATAATAATTTTTTTTCATTTACAGTATATATGGCTTAGGGTATGACCAGACTGCAGGAGCTGCCCTAGAGAAATATCTCCAGTGTGCCTGCAAGTATATGGGAAATGGTGTAATTTAGTTATCCAGATTTTGTTTCTTATTTATTTATTTTTATTTAAAGCCTTCTTTCTAATTTTACGGCGTAGAGAGCAGTGTGAAGTCTCAGGCATTGAAGCCCACTGAGATAGCATACTGCCTTGAGCATGGCATCATTACTGTATGTGGCAAGGCATTCATTCATCTGTCTCATCTAGTAAAAGTTTATTCTTTTTTTTTTTTATGGACTCTTATTTCTGCTCTTCCAGCTGCTGTTCTGGTCATCAGCACGAAAAGCAGAGAGCAATAAATAAGCCTGATAGGGATAGCACTAAAATGACATATATTTAAATGTGTAACTATTACAATTAATGTGAACAATTCAAACCTCCTTTAAGGCCTTTAGCAGTGACAAAAAAGTTTGAAAAAATTGAAGCGCTTCCTTATATAAGGCTGTATAAGGTTCTTCTACAAGGCATCCTGATATCTATCTATCTTTGTTCAGGAAGTCAGTGACATCGTATGGAGAGATTTGAGAAAAATAATAAATTTATATTTGGGTTAGGATTTTTTTTGGAATTTGAGACTTGAAAATTTGAAGTTCTGTTTCCTTGTAAAAGAGCATGTAACGTGGTAATTCACATCTCTTGCTCGCTACCCAGCCGTTCTGCTCCCATCTTTACTTGGGGAATACAGGGGTGTTTTGGGATATCTGAATGGACCATTGAGTCTCTGATTTGGTACCTGGGGAGCCATGGCAGTTTCTCACACGTGTCATTCTTACTACTGATCATTGGAGTATAAAAACATAGGAACTGATATCTTTAAGCTCATAGGTCAATAAACTATCATGTTATATTAATTTTGTTCAATACTGACTTGGGCTGAGTTGCAACTATTGACCTGGAGAAGTAAGGCATTGCATCCCAGTATCGGTCCTTTAAATAACCAGCAAAAATGGTAATGGAGAAAACATTAAAAAAAAAAAAACAACACAATTGAGAAAACTGAAAACAATAACAGTTCATATTAACATGCTTAATAAACACATGTATGGAGTTAAATTTTGAGTTAAACAAACTTTGTTGGAAGGAAACAGAAGTAGTAGTGGTGGGGGGTTTTTTTCTTCTTTTTTAATGAGGAAGCCAGAATCAGTATAATGAATCTAATTCTACACTTGTGATAATAACATTCCCATTGAGCTGAATGGGATTATTTTAGAATCACTCATAAAAATGTTAATTTTACTTTAGTTTAGTACTTTAGTCCTCAAAATAGAGGACTGTTAACTAAAGATAAAGGTTTTTATAAAAGTTAGTGTCAAAGGCATTCAGTGCTTACTGTATTGAAAACATCTGAACACAGGAAAACCTAGAGCAAACATTTTTCACAGTAAAAATATGTGAGAGGACATATTTAATAGTCAGGATTGTCATAATAAGTGTAAACACCGTAAAAATTGTTGGGAAGCGTGTTTCTGTTTGCTTAAACTTTCTCTGACCATTTTTTTTCCTCCGCAGATTAAATTCGACAGTGATGGTGTCTGTGTTTGCTGTGAAATGCAACATCAAACATCAGGCTGCAGTAACCTTGGAGAAACATTGAAACTGAACCCTCTGCAGGAGTGTAATGTTGTGAGGTTGACCCTAAAGGTACGTTACAAGAAGCATTAACAGTTTATTTCAGTTTTAAATAGTAAGCACAGTAGTAAGACGGAGATGTGTGGTGAAAGTACTAGTTGGTGTTCTTCTGGATCTTTGTACTCTCTGATGTGCAAAAAATTAAAACTTCTTCCAACAGAAAGTAATGCATGAAAAGGTTTTATGTTACATGCTCAGTCTCTGTATTTGTCGGGTAACTGTTTTGATAGAGTTTGTTTAAGAAACGCAGGTTACGATTGGTTATGATGGTCCTAGAGTCCTAGAGGTGTAAGAGCAGGTATCTTTCCTGTTACTGTTCAAGAAAACTAGAATCCAAGGTGGTGACTGGCATTGTTTAGTAACGTTATGGTAGACTGTAAAGAAATAAGAAGTATTTGCAGCATGTTCTTCAGATGAAGTTACATTGGGGAGAATGGTAAGTGTTCCTTTGGGATGACGTTGGAAGCATGGTCTGGAATGTTATTAGAAGTTTAAATTCTGTAGTGTTTTGTGTGCAACTAGCCAGGTAAAGAATGGAGAACAAATAATACAGTATGATTTATTTATATCCTAATGTAATTGCCCACAAATTTCTTCACTTAATTGTTATCAAGCTAGCAAGACTTGGTTTACATTGGTTTGGAAGACAGAAAGGAAACCCTAAAAGATTTGGCCAGAGAAAAGAACGCTGAGTAACAACACATGGTCATTAGTTTTGTTTAATTTAATGATAAACAAAAATAAATCTGCATCTAAGGCTGTCAATTTCAAAGTGTAAATTTTAATAAAGTTAATGGTATCTAACAGAATACTCTAGTGAAATCCAATGAAATAAGGAGCTTAGGAATTTGGACTATAGAGGGAGGTCAGAAACCTCCAAGTAATATATTCACATCTGAAGCGATATTTCAGAATTCAAAACAGAGTATCTGCAGAAGGTGTTATAATAAATCGTTAAATGTTTTTCAGCCATATTAAGGAAAAGAGACAAGAAAAAGAAGTAGGACTACTAGGTAGTTAGGATAAGGTAGAGATTTAAAAAGATGTCGCCTCAACATTAAATAAGAACTCTGCCTCAGGTTTTAATGAGGATGATAAAGGAGAACTATGGGTGCAACAACCTAGTGAACAGCAGTGGTTCAGTTGAAGTAAAATATCTTCCAAATATTTAAGAGAAGGTAATGCAGGAAAATAGCTTCTGAGAAAAACAAAGGTTTGAAAGTATGATTGATACAAAAATGTCTAGAAAATAGAGATCCTGTCATATAGAAGAAGCTAGCTTACTGATCCTGTAAAAATAAAGGTTGCCTGTAAAAATAAAGGTTGAGAGAGCAGATGGTTACTTGCTGTAAATACATCAGTAGAATAAACACTAACAAGAGAGAAAAGAACTATTTATCTCAGAGGACATTGTCAGCAAAAATACAAAGTTGTTAGAAGTAAATGTATTTTGGAAATCAGGTCAGGGTTTTCAACGCTTTTCCTCTGTATTTTTGTGCTTCTCCCCCCTCTCCTTGTTCCATGCATCTTCATAGAGTACACTTTTTTTCTCCACCTTTTATTTTCACTCCTTTCTTTCTCCTGTCTTCTTAACTACTAATTTACCCACAGTATTCTATCAGGTGGAATAATGTTTTGTGTAAGAACGTTAGGCCCAGGGCTCAGAGCGCCAAAAATCTTGGGTCATATAGATATTTGCATGAATTGGAGACTTCAGCATGACTGATCTCTTCTCTTTAAGAGATCTCCAGGACTGGTTGAGGTAGAGACATTATACCTCAAAATTATAATACTGGAAGAGAACACCATTGGATATTTAGATAGTTCCTCCCTATCTTACTCTATTTTTAAGTGTTGCTATCAGAACCTTACTTTCATGAGGAGGTTCACACAAAATACTCAGTGCAATAGTACTATCAAAGTGCATGATCATAACAAAAATATTAGCGTGATTCAACTATAGAAATGGTTTTGAAAAAATTGCATGCTTCCTATCAAAAGATGGCTTTTCTGTGTTTGTAGACATGGAGATAAGGAGACAGTGGGGTGGAGCAGGCATTTTGTGTGCAGATGACACTTGACGTTGGAAATTTATCCTATCTTGCCCTTAGAAGCAATGGAATATTTGTTCTGATTTCTGTAAAAGATTTAAGTCAGGCTTATTTTGCTCTTAACTTCTGTCTAAATGAGAGGAGTAATTCTAATGCGTCACATAGAAGCTTATGGCCAGAGATGTCCCAAGGTTTGTAGATTACTATGGGATCTGTGAAACAGGACAGGAGCACAACCCCTTGTTAGTAGGCTTACATTAACTACAAAGAGTTGGAGTGCCAGTGGAAATGTTTGTAGGGGTTCATAAATTGACAAAGATTGAAAAACAGTGTGTTACACAAAACGACTGGTGGATTTAGCTGAGGTGTTACCAGTAACTTCAACGTTTTACTTTTCTGACTGTCTCTCAGTCATCTTGTTGTGCAAGTTGGCTTTTCCTCAGGTAAAAACAGGAAAAATGCAGGAGGGTAAGTCTTTTTCATTCATATATACATATATGCATATCTACATGTGTATGTGTGTATTACACACATCTAGTTATAAAACCTTATCATTTCTGGATTACATTGCCTGTTATAGCTGGGGCAACATCCTAAGTCTGTTTCGAGGTGACACAGGTACCAATGAAATTCCATGTTTGTTACGCAGCATTATCTCTGCACAAGCATAGACTGCTGACGTACTACTCCGCACTGAATGCCTGTTGGTCTGTGGGGTAATTTTAAGGAACTTAAAGGAACTTTCCTTGCAACGTGTTAGTTGAGATGGGATCAATCTGTTCAATATCGTTTCACCAAAGAATAATCATATAATTTCAAATTTGAAATTAGAACAGACTGAAACTAGAGTAAGCTTTCAGTATTAGAACTGGATTTTCCTGACAGCGTTAGACTCTGGAAATTATTTCTTCTTTCTTAACTCAAAATGTCTTGAATTTGTTAAAGCCAGGCATGCAATAAAGCTTATGGTTTTGAGCTTGTGTTTTGAGAGGATGAGAGGTTTCTGCAAGATTGAATTGTTCTGTAGTGTGTTTTTACTGCCTTATATTTGCATGTAAGAGGAGAATGTTACGCTACTTTGGTTTAGAAATGATTCAGTCTGGTATTTTTAATTACTTTAACCACTTACACAGCCCAGAATACTTGCAGTCATATAGGTTAATTTATGACTTTACTGTTTAAATAGTTGCTTCCTGTTTTGCTTAAGTGTATCTGTAAAATGGTTTTGTGACTACAAAGACTAGGGGGAAAGCTGTTTTCTCCACTCTGTTTTCAGCATAAATACTAGTTTTAGAGCTGCTATAAGGTACAACAAAAATAGTAAAGCCTTTTTTACATTAGTGATCCCATTCATTAGTTTGCAAGTCATTATCAGACCTTTATGTAAGTGAGGGTTCTTGCTGTTTTCTGTGTGATTCTCTCCTTTCTTGTCCTTTGAATTCAAATTTATTGTTACTGAGCAACTTGATGGCTAGGCCTAACCATAAGTTCAGTTTTTTTCTGGTCAGAACAACATGCTTTCACTTGCAAAACAGCAAAGAATGACCCCTAACATGTTCTTTAAAGTTATGAGAATGTACTTCTCCTCTTTCACTCTCTTTTATTTCCCTGTATGACCAAATACAAAATATTTAATTTTGCTGAGCTGAAGCAAAATGACTTTAAAATTGGATAAACCTCAGAGAGGAACAAGTAAGGTATTTTGAATGCTGGAGTTGTTTCATTTTCCTTAACAGGTAACTGAAAATATTTTCTTTGCTCAGAGTTTATTTACCATCAAAATAGAGCAATTCAGTGTGGGCTTTGTAGACTGAATAGTTGAGCTAGAAGTTTTCAAAAGTTCTAAACAGTAGTTATATAACAAACATATTACAACTCTGCTCATGCTTTGTCTTTCTTGTGAATTTTTTTATTCCTAGGTTATGTAAAGAGTGAATACTGTTACAAACTTCTGTCCCAGCTGAAAAGCTGCCTCTTTGAATGACTGAAATCTATATATTGCATATTTATTCAATTGTTTTATGGAAATTAGTCTTAGTCCTTGAGGAATCTCTCCCCACTGTATCACCAATACTAAGTTTAACATAGATATGTGAGTTAATGAAAGATAGGCAAACTTGCATCCAAGCAGTGAAGACCTTTTTGAGCATACTTAAGAATTAGCTGTGTATTGTTTCATTAAATAAATGTTAATTAAATAATATTGTAGACTCATGTACAGTAGTGTACTATATTGCACTTTCATACCATAAATCTATTTGATGAAGCATTAACTGCTTCTCCATTTACAGTTTAAAGTGCATGTGAAACCCATACGGTTCAGAATTGGTTCTTTTTGTGTGAGGGCTGTCTTCCTAGTCTTATGTCAGCTAGTTTTCTCAGACGTATCCAATTAGAACAACTGAAGTTATAATTTAAGCTGAAAAGTTTGTTGTCCTTGAGTTTATGAATAAAAGAGGTACTTAGAGAGTCATTTCACGGGTGAAAAAGCTTTACTGCTCGTTATCTCTTTTCAGGTTATAGTGGTATAAGAAATAAAGCACTGTAATTGAAGTCAATCAAGGAGAAAATAAATTGCCTTCACAGAATTGCAGAGTGAGACTGGTTTTAGACATTGATCAGTGCGGATGTTTAGGTCCATGTGTTCAGGGCTACTGAATAGAGAGTATTCTTTTTACGCATTGGCAAGCTTATTTTACTCCTTTGGTTGTGTATTGACTGAGCTCTCAAAAGGTCAAGGAACTTAAGATCCTCCAAGACCCTGAATCTTTTATTTCCACAATAAACCAATCTATTGAGTAAGCAAAATGGGAATGTTTTGCAGAGTTCAATAAAAAGCTGGTAATTCAATAGTGTTGTACACATAAGAGCTGTTTAAGAGGTACTGGATTTATTTTCTCCAACTTACATTTTGGTAATATGAACATAAATAACTCATTTCACCAAAGCTAAAATTAGTTT